GGGGGGAGTCCAAACCCGAAAACTCCCCCTTGGGTATGCCCTTAGAGACAGTTATTTTTATAATTTTAAAAACATCGTTCTACGACGGTTGACGTGACTGGAGCGTATCTACATAAAATTAAACTATCGTTTTAACTATTCAACAATATACATCAATTCATCATGTACTTCATGCTTAAAAAAATTTGACAATTTGATTTTATGAAATTTTTATAAATCTGTTAAAAAAGTGTAGTTAACCCTATGCTCAGCATGATCTAATAATGTGACACAAATTAGTATAAGTATTAATAAATATGTTGTATAAATGATTACCTACATAAATATTATCTGATGCTTATACAATGTTATGTAAAATTATATAAATGTTTTATAAATAATGTGATATAAATTAGTATAAGTATTAAAAAAGATATTACGCGAAATACATTCAGGGCAAAGGTGAAAACAAGTAGTTTTTCACTTTTTAATATCCCTGTGTGCAAAATCTTGAATCAGAGAAGTAAATGAGATGTTATATTGCGATATGTGATGTTTCTTTTTACTACCAATTTATATACATGTGATGTTCTAGAGATGCCAAACACCACGTTGAAGGATATCACATTTGAGAAGTTAAAATTAAATATCTATAGAACATCTCATATTGAACGTATCTTAGAAGTCTATTTAAAGATGTAACGATGCAATATCGCATTAACATCTCAAAAGACATACCTAGGGATTTCACATTTTTTTACCCATGAGATATCCAATGTAACATCCAATAATAGATAAATATTATAATATATCCAATAACATTCATAACATATTGTTTTAGAATTATAAGGTGGGTATCAAAGGTTTTGGAAAATTGGAAATAATAATTAAATATAATTTAACACAGTTTATACAGTAGGTAGATACAAAATATTTATTTGAAAAGTTATTCATATATATTTAATAATATAATAATAATAATAATAATAATAATAATAATAATAATAATAATAATAATAATAATAATAA